GCGCATTGGTGATAAGATTTTACGAGCTTTTCTACTTGATTGCCAATACGAGGCCAATAAAGGTAGCTTTGGATCAGTGATTTTGATCCCGGTTGATCCTCTATGAACGTGTTGCAAAACAAGGCTTTGCAGCTCCCCTGGCACAATCACACGTTCCGCAAAAAGTAGGCAATCATCAACAACGGAAAGTGGCAATCGGCTTTGATGAAACTGAAGCACGTCTTTGTTTTTAATATTTTGTGCCCACTTGGAAAGGTGGTACTTCTTTACTTGACTCAGTAGCGGATTCCGTATGGTTGCCTTGCGTGTCATCACGAATGTGATTGGAGTACATTTGATAGATTCCATAATTGTTCATCGCATTTCCAGTCCAGATGAGATCTGAATCTTCCGAGTCCGGTGGTCTATTTTCTAAAATTTATGATAATGAATTTGTCTGACCGATATTGTCAGTCGATTTAAACTTGATGCTAGAGATGTAACCAAGTAACATTGAAGCCCAGCTTTGAAGTCAGTTAGTGTAATAGACGGGGATGCCATTATTGGATTCGAACAAGGCTAGTAATGAATTGGGCTCAGTAATTAAAGTGAATTCGTAGCCATAAAGCAGTTTTTTGGATATTTTTTAACAGGAAACCAACCACTGTAGCTTCTCTTCCAACCTGACTGAAACTTTGTTATGTAGTTGTCAAAAATCGAGCGGCGTGGGTTGTGGCTTATTCTGAGCCATCTTCAAACGTATGTGAAATTACGGCTTCTACCGATGCTGGATGCATCGGTCACAACAGTGATATCACGGGACGAGTCATAAGGTGTCGAAATTAAGCCTAGCCTAGATTTTCTAAAAATTGTCCTGGCAATCAGCGTTCCATTTCCACTGATAGTCCTTGAGTAGCAAACGGATCAGTGAACCGGGGATATTATGCATTGCTGGCACACAAGCAACATAATGAATGACGAGTCTCAGAAATGACCTTGATGTAGGTAAATCTTTGAGGATAGGCATTTGTTCGATTGCATCCACATCTTCTGGGTCTGGTCTTTGGCTATGGCGATCGATTATGAATCCGAGGTATTTGATGGAATCCATGAAAAATGGACACTTTTCACTTCTCAGGTGGAATCCATGGTCTTTGATTCCGTCCAGTACTTGACCGGAACGATTATAGATATTTTCTGGGTCAGAACCGATGATGATAATATCGTCCAAATAAGCAACAGTGAATGATAGTCCTTGTAACATAGTATCCATTACTGCTGGAATATTGCCCGTGCAGACTTAACACCGCATGGTAGTCGGTTGTATAGGAAAAGTCCTCAATGTGTATTGATTGTAAGTAGATGCTTACTCTCCTCTGACACTTCAACCTGCAAATACGAATCAGAAAGATCCAAATTGGCAAAACGTTTTCCACCCTTCAGCCTGGAAAACAATTCATCTGACTACGTCAGCAGGTATTGGTGATCCTCTGGTGTCGCGTTGAGACCAGTTAAGAAGAATGCACACGTCCTAACTTTTCAATTATGCTTTTTGACTACCCCACTTGGACGGAACACAGGTTTTACATCCTGACGTAGAAACAAAATGACTCATAGTTGAACAGGGTATCGTTGAGCACACCCGAAGAAAATTTCGAAAGCTGTCCTGTCCGTTTTGGGGTCTGAGAGACACCCAAATTTATAAGGTTTCATGCAGCGTCGGCGCATTTCTATCAGCTCTAGTCTGCTGATCCAGTTCAAGCCAAGGAGTTTCAAATGTGGTACATTGGTCAGGTAAAATAATTCAGTGAAAAGAATATTGTTGTAAACACAGAACGAGAAAGCGCACCAGTCAACTGTAAATTTCCACCAGAAGTGTTTAGAGGAAAACGATTTGTGGGGTTGAAAGAAGATTCACGCATAATTTTTCAGGTATCTTTGGAAATGATTGTAATGTCGGAGGCATTATCGAGTTGCTGACGTACCTTTAGAACGATGGGTACTACTGATAAGGCATGCTAGTAGTATGTAGTTATCCGTAAATCCGCTTCGCGTCTATTGAAAAGTGACGGAATTTGTGGAATTGCTTTACGGCATTAGTTTAAATTTGAGTGTTAGTTAATGAGTATTCAGTGAAGTTTGGGAAGACGCGTTCTAGAAGAGGACGAATGGTCACTTTTTATAAACAAGATGCTCCCCTGTTCAATACTCTGTAACAGTTCAGTTTTTTCTCCAATAAATAACTCCGCACCGAAAGTTTTTTCTTCCTTTTACCGGTATGTAATTTAGGATGACTGACACAAATTTACGCTGGTGTTTCCGATCCGGGGTTAAAGTGCCTAGTGCTGGTTTGGTGTGCGGTTTTGAAGGACGCATTGTTCCCTTGAATGGTTTTTGCCTTGTTCACATAAAGTTGTGCGGCAATCTTATTCTTCGTGTCCTTTTTGTGGCACTCCCGACACTGGTGCTCCTTGAAAAAACCTAAACGAAAGAAGTGCAATTTCTTGCACTGCCAGAAGGGCGTAGGTAACTTACTGAACTCCACCGGAGACTTCTTCCCACCTGGCGTTTAAATCATTTCCGAAACTTATGCACATGGCCGGACAGATAGATCATTGCGTTCCTTCATGGCTGTATTTTACTTTAGATTAAGTGAAAGTTGACACTCCAACGTAACTGTTTGGAAGTTGATCAACGGATCCTGCTCAAACTTGCTTAGCGATTGATTTCGAATATCGGCATCTCTTGGTGACTGCAGTCCATAGATGGTGTGACATTTTAATTGATCCTGTCATCTCCCTCAGTTTGAATCTTTAACACTGACGGTTCACTATGCTTGCATATGTAAGGTAGGCATCACTGTCCGATTGAACCATCTTCAAACAGTTGTAGCGAACGTCCATCAAAGAAAAAGTCTTTTGGAGCTTTGGGAAAATAAAAATTAATAATTTCGTCACGCTTGCTTTTCCCGAGCTTTCGTAGTAACAGTAGAGATTTCCAACCATCGACCAAATCCGCGAATTCCGTCCAAAAAATGTCTGCCAATTCCGAAGTTGAGTAGAGTTCACTCGTTTCGGTCCTCAACCGTATTGGATTATGTAGACGTCCCAAAGGCAGTCCGTAAAGATAAATAGGCCTCGCCAATGAGTACTTAGCTTCCGCGACTCCATACCACTCTATCCAGGATTCCGATGACCCATGTAATTGCCATTCGCACCCATTGGGTAGTCTTAACTCTCTACTCGCCGTTTTCTGTCTACTCCTTTTCTGAACGGCGTCAGGTTTTCTCAAGCTTTTTTCTTTTCCTCTTCTAGGTCACCCGGAGACACCATTGGCAGGTTCAATTCCCAGTCACCTTCTTTGGGCGCCCGCCAATCCTTGATTGTTGGTTTATTGCGTTCGGGTAAAACTTTTATTTGCGGGTGTTACGGTTCCGTCCTTGGTCGTCTGCTGCCCAGCTTCTGCGAGCAGCCCCTAGACTATCGCTCCCAAAGCAAGACTACGGGTCCATTGGGATCATTTTCGGCACCTCGTGGTTGTTCACGATGTGATGTATTACAATTCCATTAATCGTTGTCGCCCGTTGATTTGGTACGGATGCCACCCCGACTCACCGCGGCAAGTGTTGTGTCATTATTACGGTATATTGGTTCTCTCTTGTTGTCATCGAAAAAGGCGCGCAGGACGTAAACGGGCCATACCTCACCAATCTCTCATACAGAAGTGGGTTCCATGGGATGGGTTGCCTCTGTCATACCCACTTGCATCAGTTGACACCGCTCATAGGCTACTAAGTAATCCATCACCTCACTTGTACTCACGTTCAAGTGTGCGCTCTGCCGATGTGTCATGTGTCTTGGTGCACCATGTCTGTGCCATCTCACGGCATTCGATAATCAGTTTCCGTCTCAGGACTCGAGGTATCTCGGGCAGATTCGGTGGTGTTCCAGGAAATTATGCCAGCTTTACCAAGGCTCAGCTTACCGAAATGACTCTGGAACGTTTCCACCTCTCAGTCTTCCTATCTGTCCTCAATACTTCTTACATATAACAAGTCGGCTGCAAGCTTCCGGGATCCAGATCGATGACAATGCTACGTGCACCAGTCACGATCTTAGGAGCCTCATATCCAGCTACCGATCTTGACAGTCAGTCAGCCAGATGGTTTTTCCTCCCTGGAACGTGCCGAATCGTAAATTCATACTCTTGCAAACATAGTGCCCAGCGCGCGCTTTTTGCGGGGACCTTTGCCTGTCCTGATCCCCCGAGGGGTTTGTGATCAGCCGCAACATTGAATTTGTGTCCCATCAGGTGTGACATCCAGTTATCCAGGTCCAACACGATCGCTAAACATTTCTTCTCAATAGTTTATTACTCCTGCTTAACGTTAATCAGGATTTCAGACCAGCATGTTCGATAGCCCAATTCCTCTGCTCTAGGACCACCAACGCCGAGGTCACCCCAATGAACCGAGTGATTTCGACCCCCTTGGTGGAAGGCCATAGATAAATACATCTTGTTTCGTCAGATATAAAATGCTGATGACTTTCAATATAAATAAAACGGGTATACAGATTTTTTCAGATTTTCTCGCTAAGATTGACCCCATTTGCAGCACAGAATCTTCATTGACAGTTTTCAAATCTTACCCTACGAACCATTCATAAATGGTTCTGTCCGAATATTGTCACAAAAGTAGCCAGTCAACACGTGACCAAGTGATATGGATTCCCTGATTAGAGAATGAGTGACCCTCGAACCCATCTGAAATGAGGCTAATCGAACTAATGATCAGCTGCTCGTAGCCCAACCGAGAGTGTTTCAAACTAAAAGTTTTGTGATCTTGGGTTCGAAAATCTCTGACGTTTTGTAGGATGCTCAGTGCTGATGGCGTACAGTAAGCCAGCATAGACGGGCTTTACTTGCAGGGGGAAATCTCAATAAAACAGTCCTAAGTCTCTCCATATTTCTACTAAGAATAATTGAATGATTAGCTTCTGCTTCTATTTTGACAGCGGAATGGAGTATCTATGAGAAAATTTTCAATAAATGTAAGCATTGACAGGAACAATACGCAGGTGAAAAACGACGTACTGGTTATTGCATCGAAACAAAAAATGTTGCATTCTAAGCGATTGGCATGCAGTCTTACGGAGTTTGATAACGACTAACCATAGACGATGGCCCAAAGTCCTCTATGGTCAGGCATGTCTCAGAAGTCAAAATCAGTGTGTTCAGGAGGGCTTGCGAAGGCATATAATCGGAAAATAGGTACGGTCGCCCAACAGTCAACTTAAATCGTATGCGCCGACTTTACCCACTCAAGTTTGGGCCAGTTTTAATTCTTCCGGATTAAATCGAAATCTATAACTCATAACGTGGAAGAGTTCTCAGCAGTTCCATAAATCATGTGTTTAATTATGAAAAATTCTGTATTAACCACTTGAGCAGCCTTCCCGTCATCCAAAGTATCCTTATCCTGCGGAGGTATTTGCTTTGACCAGCCTGTTTACCTACACGAGTTTTTTTAGGCTATTACGTTTTTACTCTCCAACCATCACAGCAATCACACTAGATGTGATGTGTGTGCGTTACTCTGGAAATTAGGACTAGGTGGTTCCAGAAGCTCCCCAAGTAATGTTTGATTGACACCTTGAGACAGACAGCCGAATCAGATTGTATAGATGAAGTCCAATGTCATACAGTAAAGCTGCCTACATGGATATTTGTGGACATACTTATCGCCAAAAGTGTATTCTTATGCCACAGGGTATAAACTGTAACGACCGTGGCAAGAAAACAGGGCGACTATTTAGTATTCAGGTGCCAGTATGTATGTGCAAGTTCAACAAATATGAACTGGCTACCGCTAAAGGGTCAGGATGTAAGGAAATATTTCTTCCTCACAGAAGAATCCCCTTCATCTATTTAGCTTGCAGATGAACACATCTAGGGTTATATGCACTGAAGCAAGTGAAGTTTGGAGAGAGTTCACATACATAAATTCGGAATCTCATCCGCGAGTTCTGCATTATTTGTACAACATACCTGAGCGGGTGCAGTTGGATAATTTGAGAATGGCTAATTCACTGCAAATGGCTGGATGTGGTACTATATCTCTGGGTCTCATGAATAAAATCTAATAGTTTAACCACGCTGCTATTCACAACCCCTTCTACAACAGCAAGATATTTGCCCTCATCTCAATTCCTTCTGCGTCACGATTTAAATTCGGCTGACATTGAGGCACGCAGTTAGTCGCTGGTAGGCAAAACATAAGTTAATTTAATGGCGTCTTTTTGTACATGTACGGACCATTGATATATTGTGGGACTTAAGTTAATTATGATGACATTCAACTTCAGCGTTTGCGGTGCTAGTGACCTTGTCTTAGCAACTTTTGGAGAGAAAACCTATTGTTTCATCCACAGTGACAGTTCATCAACCAGTGAATGCATTCTTGATTCAAGAATGTAGATTTAACAGATTTCAATACCACAGTTTCTGGTTGGGAAAAACATTCAGCGAGTTAATTTTTGATTTCCCCATTCTGGAGATACAGAAGAAAAAACAGTGAATGAATTTGTATTTAATAACAGATGGTTAGTTGAATTTCTAACGACAACGTGTAGGCAGTGTTCCGTTTGTTTAGCCTGCTCCGGACTATTCCGCGGGTCCTCCCGTCATCCTTGCTAATTGAAAGTGAAAGCGATGGGAGATATAGCACAAAGTTTCCAGTCTTAGTGGTAAACAAATCATGTGGAAAAAGGGAATGTGAGCACTCTCAAGATGCTGACTAAATGAAGCAGCTTTTTTAATAGTGAACATTTCTACCTAATTCAGGCAGTCCTACTTCTAAGAGGTGAGCTACAATCATAGCATTTCCGTCAGTTGCTATTAAGTTACTAACATCAGAGCTGAGCTGTCGAAAGCATTTCCCCATCAAATGAAACCATGAGTTGGGAAATCAGATTCCGCTACTCAGAGTACTAAGTTCCGAAATTCGCGGCTGGCTATTTTAGCTCCTTTCACCTTAGAAGAGTGCTTATTTGTAAAAGAGCAACCGCAGTTGTCTACGGTACAGAAAGGCGAATTGTGCGTCATGGGTCTGTTCAAACATACAATGAATGGCGTGGTTAGAACAAAAGCTGGTGACAATAAATGTCGAAATCCACCGAAATCCTCATCAACATAAATTGGTGTTAAAATTGTATCTTCCCATCGCCTGTTGGAATAATTCTCCTCGGACGCCCATGCAGATGGCTGGTAATTTGATGTGTGCTGAAGTTAACAAAGCAGAGTAGCGTGTCTTATCCAGACATAGACCAGTGATTTATCTGCGAGTGGGTGCCGCAAATATGCCTGCTTTGAAATTCGTGTTTTGGCTTAATCTCAAAAATTTGCATGGGGAATGCAAAGACATGATGTGCAGTGTCTAACTGCATCAAACATAAAAACCAATCTCTGGTCATTTGCATCGTCTAGGCTCCCTTCTAAAGGATTGCTGCAAACTCGTAAAGCCAGAAAGCATTCATTTTTGGAAATTAATTATCGTAGCATACCGGAGAAATGGTCACATAGTGCATCCCATCATTCCAAACAGAGTTCTGTGTGCTATCCTACCGTGCTGCCAGATTGCACGTCAACTTATCCATTTATGGCAATGCCCCTGGGCAATACAGTGCAAACACAACGAAGCCGCTAGCATGAGGGGGCATGGATGTCCCATCAGCTACTGCCTACACTGATGACGTTTGCATTCCAAAGTTGAATAAATCTCATAAGGGGCGTCGTTTTTCTGGTTCTCAGCTTAAATGATGATTATTCCATTTTCAGCCTGCGTAGTCACTGAATTATTGCCTACTATAATTGTTTCAGACATAACGAGCTTTTGTTTATTGATATATTTGCCGAGAGTTCTAATACAAAACGTATTGGCCGACCTTTTGACTCTAAATAGTCAAACTTTTACACCAATATGTTTCGGAAAATAGGATAATGTCTCGATTCGCTTTTTGGTATTAGCCATTGGTGTAACAGGCATCAACAAATATCCGCCCGATTTTGCTGCAATAAAACACCAACTGGCAACGGTCATCTCTCGAAAGGCGACTTGTGGTTCTCACTAAGCCAAATGCAGTTTTGTTGCGGAGTCCCCGGCTGAGCCAGCGGTCTCACTTTTCCGGGAGAAGAAAACAAGACTTCAGGCATGATTTTGAGAATTGGTGTCCTCGTTATATCACGCTAAAGCAGCCTCCTTTCACCTGATAAAGGATGCAACTCTGTTGGACTGGTTAATTAAATTCCGACAGAATTGCGTTGCACTGTGGTCTTGTAACTTGCCCAAAATAATTTTACTTTATGAGGGCTACTAAACGTGCAATAAGCTTGTAAGGAACGGGGTATTAGACTACGAGAGCTCAGTGTGTTTGATCAAATAATTTGTTCGTCTGCCAAAACTGTTGTTGCGGTACGTATTCAAGGTCTCAGTTCTTTCGAGGATATCTAAAAGCAGACCAAATAACGTAAGTTGTTCTGGAATTCGACGACAATAATGGTGACAGCTTTTGAGCAGGTTCTGAAAATAATACCCAAGAAGGCATTAAGGATGGAGACAAAAGCTAGTATAGATAATGTTTTCGTAGTAAAACCATCCAATTTGTTAATAAGTGGTTCACTCTTTTCGGGGGAAAGAATAATTTATTCGATAATAAAATTCTATTGTTTCTAAGAATGGTCCTTTCAGTGAGGCTGTAATGTGTTGCAAACAAACTTAGAGTTGTTTGCTTTGTATTCTAATCCAGAGGATATCAAGTACATCTGCACTCGGCAGTTTAAAACTATCAAAAAAGCTATAAAGCTGGTTATTCTTAAGTCTTCACCAAAATGTACTCGTTTATCAATTTAAATTTAGAATATTGATTTTAAGGATATAGTAGTCTTATTGTGGATTAAATTGATGGAAGTCTTGAGGCCCGATTAGCTAATGGTCGGAATTTGACAACATATTAAAATGTGTTATTTATATTCACATTTATTTACGGAAATAATGACTCCAAATTTTGTTTGTTCATGTTTCCAAAATATCGCCGTTTCGAAACATGTTTAGCCACACAAAATTAGTTAATCAAACACTGGTTTCGAAAGATCACCCGAAAACTGAGCCAGATGAGCAGTGCTTGTGCAAATATGACGCAGATCATTATTCGTCCGATATGTTTGATTTCTACCGCCTTCTGTCTGTAATACTTTCACTGGTTTCGAAAGATCACCCGAAAACTGAACCAGATGAGCAGTGCTTGTGCAAATATGATGCAGATCATTATGCGTCCGATATGCTTGATTTCTACCGCCTTCTGTCTGTAAACCTTTCACCCGAAAACTGAGCCAGATGAGCAGTGCTTGTGCAAATATGACGCAGATCATTATTCGTCCGATATGTTTGATTTCTACCGCCTTCTGTCTGTAATACTTTCCACCCACTACGGCTGGCAATAGAGAAAGCATATATAACTGAGGGGACTAAGTTACTGCATTAGTACGACCGATCGAGTTTTCGTGGCTGAATTGCATTTATCTTGGATGTATAACCTGATTCCATTTGGACCATATTCACATTTTGGGTGCCGGCTATTTGAAAAAAGCCTGTTTTTGCCAAATAAACACAATTCTTTTAAACTTACGCCTGATTGTCAGGGATGTTGAGTCTGAAAAAAAGGCCACGTATTACTGAGTGCTCGGGTATACCGAAGCTACATTTTTGAGGCTAGCACTTGAACGATCATCAATCGCATATTCAGATGCGAAATACTGCTTCATAATGAGTGCTGAATTTGCACAAAACGTCAGTTGTCATTCTGTCTTCAAAAACTCGCGAAGCATGAAAGTAAAGACTACATAAACCGTTCTATGAAGCGGCAACAGCGGCCACCGTGTACACAGGATACAGGCATGTGCATAAATCCTTCGTTTCATGCATTGGTTGATCTCCCATTAGATGTTCATGTTATAGCTGTAAACAAGTTATCGGTCCAGCTATGGAGCAGTATGTTGGTAATAAATCTTTATACTTTGTAAGGTGCACATTTGATCACAATTTGTCTTGAGTAAACTGTCGAGTCAAAACATTAGATGTCAGCTATTTAAATTTCGTTGATCATGTGTTTGATGAGAAAAATTCATCCTAATTCAAGGAAATATGTTTAGATTTCGGTTGTTAACGGAACGAACTGAAACCGTGGATGGATGCGCTAACATGATTTTTATACACAATGGCCGCAGTAAACTCAGGTTCTCATCAGCAGAATTAGTTATCCACTGCATGGTTTTTGCTGCAAGTCTAAAACCCGGCTAAGGTTTCTGTAGAATTTTTTGTTACACCCATAGAATACGTGAAAATATTTGGATTCCATCATTTGTTCCGTAGCATGGTGTACGGAATACGTCTAAGGTCACTAATTTTCTTAAGTTTCCTGGTCTGCATCTAGGCTAAAACGTTCACATTTTAGTTAACTGTTTCCAAGATATCTGCTCACATCGTGAATGAACTGCCTACGTTCACTACTAAACTGGCTCGGTAAACGTGTGAGATGCTGAGGCGCAGCAACATGCTTCTACACTCGGCCAGATTTATTGCAAACCTTAACATATTTCAAAGCGCAAGAGGTCGTTTATCGGTTCTAACTAGAACGATACTCTCTAACTTGCGCTTCACTAGGTCTCGCAGACGGCTGTCATCAGCTGCTCTAGCTGTGAGCACTCGCTTTCTCAAACACATCCATGATTTTGAAGAATCACCTTGTTTAACTGCATGGATACTAGGCTCCACAAATTTTTGAATGGGTGCGTATCTGCGTCGTGGGGAGGGGTAATCAGACAGCAACATACACTCGGATTAGGCGAAGGCAGTACAAAACATGCCAGTTGTTGTCACTGATATGCATGAAGGAAGGAACTCCCCTTGCGAAAAAAATGCTGACTACTGTTTAATGAGCATTTCTCACCAAGTTAAGCCTAAACTCTGTGTTGCAGCACCATGCTTCGAACTCTGCATTAAATGCTTGTTGAAAAACACTATAACCTGACGTAACGGTCGGTTAGTTTTCCTTAAAAAATTTTTCTTCAGAATTGTTCTCACTATGCAGTCGGGATGACACCTTGGCGTCAAGATTAATGTTGGAGATAAGTGCCTCCCGGTGATTTAGAGGACTTCCTTTGCACAGTGCATTGGAGTCACCCTTTCTACTGCGATTAGGAAATATCCAGGCAAAATCAAAAATGTTACAACTGAAAAATCACAGTGGAGATCGAACACCGAAAACGTGATTTATCTTAATAGTACACTGAATTTTCACCAACTTAAGGGCTTCCGATTTCATTTCACATAAAACTATATGTTATCGTTCTAATTCAAAGATCAATAACACGTGTAGGACTCACATGTGAATGCCACTTTGCTCATCGAAATATTGCCACCTGGTGGTGAATTGAAGACCCTTTGCAACGTCAATGCTAATTTGCCCGGGCAAATTAACATTTCTTCGTCCAAGTTCTCGGTTTCGAAAAAGAGCTCCGCAAAGTTCCTTTCGCTTGTTTCGCCGGGCTTTGCTGGATGTGAGCGACAAAACAACACTCGGTTCGCATGGAGTCTGTTAGCTTTATTTGCCACTTGCATCATCTTCATGGGAGACAAAAGTGTAAATGATTGTGCAATCAACAAATGAAAACAAATTAGGATAAAGGAACGCAAACTATGGCATCTTCCTGTACTTTTATATACTTCGTTTTATTAGAATGCGAAAGTCATCATGGCCACAAACTATTTGCAATTCAGGTCAGATCCAGTTGTAAGTACACCACTGTAGTGTGCATGTATGGAAACAATAAATAAATAGTGACTCAAATGCTTCATGCGCTCCACCACAACTTAGCATTTATTTCGTATGACCGTCGTAAAGTACCGACAGCAATGGAATGCTTTGTACCTCGTGAAAACTTTAGGTATAATGACGAGTGTCAAGGCAGCATCCATAAAATCGCTACTGCCTTTTGTGTGCAATCTGGTGTAAATTTGTATGTATACCAGCTGAATGTACGGCCTTAGACAAAAACATGTAATGTTCCAAAGGAGATTCGCATCAGTATATCATGGATATCTGCTTAAATGCCACACATTTATATTCCTGTAGCTGCGCCCCCGATAAGCAACGGAAAGCAAACTAGTTAAATAGGTCGAGTGAATGAATCCCAAGCTGGATGTAGGGACGATAGTTTTTTCGTCACTAATGCACCGAAATAATAAGAAACAGACCCATGTGCCGCAATTCCCTTTACTTTTAGCACGACCAATACTTCTAGTGTCCGTTATGGAATTAATTGCACTAAGGAGTCTCTCAAAGAAGCCCTGTATCCCCCTAAGTATTAGTTAGGCAGTTACATACAAGGATCTGCCTTGGGCATCAAAGTAAATCTTTAGTCTTTCTTCAAGTTTATGGGTTCAATATCTGCTTTGACGGTCTGAATTTTTCACAGCAAACCAAAACATGCTAGTTTAAAACTTAATGCATTTATGAAATCAAAATTGGTTTCTCAATATGAATCCCTTTTCACCCAGTCTTTTCCTTTCCGCGGTTCTATTTTTTTGACTCCTTGGTTTAAACTACCAGTAATTGAACATGTTTGAGTCGATCCATATCTAACATATTACTTCTACCCAGCATATCCAGAATCTAGTGACCTTACCTAATGCATAAGTGGTTAAGAGACAAACATTCAAGCTCCGACTGTAACGGGTCAGGTGTGCCCAGCTCCTTTAAACTCCAGTAAATATTTCCTTTTCCAAAAGCCGCCGAGCTCAGTAGCATCCACGCTGACATGAATAGATGACTATATCCCAGTACGATGCTCTGTATATCTCCATAATCCATCGTAAAGCATTCCTGAATGCGCACCAATTTTGATACGAGCTCGTCCCCCACTGTTGTAATAACCCACATTCCAAATCAAAAGCCCTCGTCCATAAAATCCAACCGCTTTCAGCTTCATTAATTACATGTAATTTAAAGAAATGATGCGTTGATCAATACGTTTTTAAACTTGATTATGAGCAAAACGTGTGATAAAAAGCCAAGCCTTCGGAATCTCCCATTCACAGTTAAAAGCCATACGACCACGACAAAACTGTGACACTACACATTTATTCTGCAAACTGTGGCAGACCGGAAACCTAAATTAAGACCATAAAAAGCGTCAGGATGGTCAAAATAACATTCCCTATCGTCTCAACCTAATGTTTGACACCCAAAATTTAGCTTACTCAGGAAGCACCCACAAAAACACTAGGTTCTAAGTTCTGTTGTTTTATGTAAAAGTAGAACTTTAGGAGGAAAACAGAAAAACATTATTCCACACCTCCTCAAGAAAACTTTCAGGTATGCACACCTTTAGTCTACTTGCTGCCTCACTGTATTTTGGCACCCGCACGTCAACTTCATGAATAACTTCCCACATAGTTCAGCTCATCTTACCCTCCTCGAAAATTCGCAGTTGATATCCTTAAGTAAAGATAGCAAAACCGGTTAGGCGTCTTAACAGTCGTCTTATTTTCTGAGACAAAGCTCCAGCGCACACAATATTAAGGTAGGATTTTGGTGCTGGGTTCGGATGGATCCGAAATGAGAAACATTTAACACTTGATCAGTTTGACCAGAGAGACTAACCCCATGGCTGGTCAGAATCAAGATCCGATCTGATTTCTCCATCGAATTCTTCGAAACTTGTAAATTATCATTCCTGTCAGTGCATTCGTGATACTGTAGCTGTAGTAGTGTCAGCAAAGTGCCTTTTGATTTCTGTCTGACCTATTATTGATGAAATGCCTTATTTGTATTGTTTTGGCAAAAAAATTCAAACGTATATCATTGGAAGATAATCGTAAAATCTGACTAGACATAGGTGTATAAACACTACTCACCCCGATGCACAAGTCATTTGTGGAAGTCAACTTTACACCCCAAGATGCAAGGTATTGCACCCAGTTTCCGCTATCCAGTTGAACTTTGTAACCTAAGTGAGCAGATAAAAAAGGGGTTTCCCACGTGCTAATCACACGGCAACTCCCACTTACACAGTGAAAAAAAAACTAAATAGGATCTCCACCCGTTTGTTAGGTCACTCGCTATGAGACAAGAGGCGTCCTGTCATCTTTTGACCAACTAAAAAATTAGCGGCTATACGTTTTAAAAAACTCAAGTTAGAAGAAAAGGTTATCCAGTACATTTGGAAATTCGTGTCATTGATAACATTCAGAATCCAAGTGGAATCGTGAAAGTACCAGGTGATTCTGTGCTCATTTTTCTGAAAGTAGTAATCGATTCATTTACTAACATGCAAAGCTAAACTATACCAAATAAAACCCTACGTTCAAAACAAGGGCATTCTGTCGGATACTGCGGTGGTATCCATTTCACTTTATTCAGGCAGAGCACGATCAGTCAAACAGTAAACAAACGATAGCTGGTTATCCTTCATCTCGAGAGAAATAAAGACGAGCCCACATCTGGCAAAATTAGTTCTGCTCAGACTCACTAGCCCACCTATTGATTCTCGTGGTCATTCTATTGGATCAGCACAACATAGAAGTCCACAACTATTTATACGAAAGGTGGCTTCTAAAAAAGCATAACATCACACCTGAAAAATCGACGTAAAAGTAAGCGCTCAGTGAAAAACAGTCGGATATTATTTCGGCCCAGCTGAAACGTGGATAGTTCGTACCCAACGCTGATCACCTCCATGCTGTGATCTTTGACCTTAATAGTTTGACGACTATTCCTGATTTGCTGATTGATTAACGTGTAAAAGAGAGTGAACTAAACCATTCAAAAGTGCCCGTTCTAGATGCACGCCTTTACAACCAAAAACCTCCAAATTCACAACGCACTAATAGTGTCACATCGACTGATGATGGAACATTGCAACTAAATTGCACTGATCAGTTAACAGACAGACGTATATGAGTCAATGCGTAATAAAGTCAGCCTGACAGTGGGAAACAAACTCACTAAAGATAGGCTGGAATACTTACCATAATATAGTTTGCCTGAAGCATAAGAAACATTCGGCGAATACCGTCAACGATGTCTTTCCTATATATAATTCAACCACCACCGTTTAATAAAACGAAAATCTAGCGGAATAACTTTGATAATACGCAGACATCGATATAAGAAGATAGGAGAATGAGGCAGCCGTGCTCTGAGGTAGGTTTGTTTTAAGATACGTTTGCAACAATAGATATACCCATTCCATATTGCCTCTCGAGTGGTTAAGTACTATTGATTAAGTACTACTGATTAAGTACTACTGGTTAAGTACTACTAATAATTTGAATGCGAATGGACTTTGAACTACGGCTCCCAATATGACTGTTTTCATACCTTCATCCAGCCTCAAAGGCGTAAACTATTCAAATTTAGGAGAGCAAGTCGTAAACATTTGCGTTTGATTGCGTTGCATGGGAGTTCTTCCAAAATACACATGACTCAAGGCTTTCATCTCCCAGCTACCGAGTTTGCTGTTCCACCTGGTTTCGTACTTCTTCGATTACCGTTTATTCTACCATTAGTGTTGATTTGCATGTTCTCATCTACTATTACTCAGCTACTACAAATTCACCACTACAACTATCATCCCGTCGTCGCCGTTTGGTTGGATGTACAGCTTTTAAAATTACAACGCCGATGTTTCAACTCTTTTATTATAATTCAACAGCAAGAAATTAATCTATCTGGGATAATTCAAAGTGGATAGTCACCACAGTTCACTTGTTGGTTAGATATTTATCTAAATGCATTTGGCTTCAGCAGGCGATCAGACCGAAAACAATATCATGGGATAATCTCCGCGTGAGGCTTGTTTTGGAGCGTTTTGCTGAGATACAAGCTAGGAGGTTCGGTGTTTATTTTTTTTTTCACAGTTTACCCTGAATTTTAAATAAAGCACGTTACAAAATTTGTAGCATAACGGTATATTTCTATGTTTATATTTCTCCACCTACTGCATTCCGAAATAATGAACGAGACTAAACGGAAATGTTTGCAGATGAGTAAATCGAGATAAAGTCAACACACAGGTGATTCCCGACGACAGGCCGTTTGCGGATGTTCTTTGTTTTCCTCTCTATAATACAACGAGATTCAGAATTTTCTGTATTAGACTGTGTTTGGGTTTTGAGTATTTCCGTTTTTTCCACTGGAAGACGTAGACCAGAATACTTTTTTTTCAAGAATGTCCCTCGACGTCATCCAGCAATATACAGCATGTTGCTGGCTGTATAAATTAGAATATTTATGAATGAGCAGTTGTGGAATACGGGTGGGATAAATTAGGTATGCCTGACAAGTGCTGGACAAAAGCTAGCGCCTTGTTTCTTGTGTCCATCACACGTGTGCTCATTACAAAAGTTCAGAACATCAGAAGCGTCCCCAGAAAAGCTTTTTGCGTGAAATTCAGCAAAATTTGGCCATTTATACTGTCTGCAACCTCAAAGTTATCCATATAACACAAGTGCCCGCAAAATAACCATGTCACTCAAGGGTCACCAGCATCGCCTGAAATGATTTCTTATTGAAAAGCAACAACAAGAGATAACCACCTGCCTTGTGAGCTTTGAGGAGGCGTCGCTGGGGGAAGAAGCAAAGGACATGTCTAGAGATAGAATGAATTATGACAAAAACGTCCCTGCTTTGGAAGTGTAGGCGAAACTATATATCAAATGACAGTGTTGTACCTCCACAAGAAATATGCCGCTACCAAAACACCGTAGATATTTATCTAAATGCATTTG